TGTTGACATCCTTGGTGGTAGTCTTTGTTATCGGAATACCCCAGAACAGCTTTGGTGAACTTTCTTTGAACACCTTCAGTTCTAATCAATTCATTATGTCTACAATTACTGTAAACTAAAATACCATATTCAAGAATGGGCAAGACACATTTTCTGTATAGTAACAATCTCCATTCGATATTATTGAAGTTTATCATTATCAATCCGATCAGCTTTCTAGCTTTGGATACTTGAGATATAATGTGCTCAGAAAAGTTCAGACTGTTGCTATATCTTAAACCCAGGTCACGAACAGTGTTAAGAGGTTTGAGTGTATGTGTCTGTACAGTCAGATTTAAGTTAAGACAGCGACCAATGTGAATAAATCCACTTTTGTCAACATTAAGTGGCATATTCCACGAAATAGTCCATTCGTACAACTGTAGTGGCATTGGACAATAGCCACACAATCCACAAAGCTGTGAACACGAGACTACTCAGGAAATAGATATTCAATATTTAACGCGGAGAAATACCTAACGATGGAGAAGGCGCGAACAATGAATTGAATGGACTGGAGTTGATCGTATGGCATGACTCGGCCATGCAGGCGTGGTCCATCTCAATGTTACTTTATATCTTCTATTCATATTAAATATATTGTTCTTTCTCCAGCCTAACCTTGTTCTACATCATGTATTGGTAATTGATACGATACAGTGAGTTGGTGTAGTCGATGGTGTTTATTTCCTCTTGGATTACCGCTGAAATATAGCTTTCTTTCGTGGGAGAAGAGAATGAATAAACTACTTTCAGGTCATCAGCAAAAAGAAAAGGCTTACCATACTGAAAGAGGGAACACACATCATTGATAAAAAGGAGAAAGAGTAATGGACCAACCACACTTCCTTGTATAACCCCACTGGTTACATTCACAGGTTTAGAGTAGCAAGATCCAAAGCGAACGATTTGGCTACGTTCTTCTAAAAAAGATTTGAGCCAAGATAAAAGGGGATTCTGTATGCCAAATGAAGAGAGTTTTAAAAGAAGTTTGTGTGAGACACTGTCGAAAGCCTTACTAAAATCGAAGTAAAGAATTATCACTGACTGACCAACATCTCTTTCTGGGTAATTTGATCAAAAAACTCCAGGTGCGATGTGAAACATGAGCGTTTAGTCATAAACCCGTGTTGGGATGGGCTGATCAGACTAGCCGAAAGTAAAAATGATAGTAGCTGTTTGTGGATGATTTTTTCCATGGTTCTTGAGAGCACGGATGTCAAATTAATTGGCCTATAGTTAATAATATCACTACGTGGTCCTGTTTTGAATCTAGGGGTGATAAGGGATGTTTTCCATACAGATGGATAGGTCCCATATTCCATAGATAGATTGAAAAGTTTCAAACAAAATAGTGGAAATTCTCTACTTCCATATTTCACAAATGATGAAGGTATCCCGTCAGGTCCACCATCATAAGACTTTTTCAGGGCAGCTATGGCCTGCTTGATGTTGGAGGGTGTAAAATCAATTTTCGACAGATGTCTGGATGTCAGCATTGGAAATGTAATGATGGAGTTTTCAGTTCCAGTTTTGTAGCACTGCGAGAAGTGCTTGCTGAATTGTTCGCATATAGTATTCGGGTCGTTAACAATGCTTCCGTTAACTATGAAGAATTTAGTCGTGCCAAGGGAATTTGACTTTACACGGGATTTAAAAAGCCGAAGTATTGATAATTCTGGGCTTTTACTACGTAGAGCTTTATTTTCTATATTCATAAAATACTTACGTTTAGATGAAGCATTTCTGTTGATTAATTTAAGTATACTCTGAAGTGCATACACATCATTCTGCTCGTAGTAGCGGCATTTTAATTTCCTCAGCTTTCTTTTAAAAGTATTTTGGCCCCTATTAGCATTATAAGCCACACGGCCAATAACTGGAGCAGTGCAGTCAAGACAATATATCAGGTTGTGGTATAGATTGGAAAGCGCAATGTCAACATTATTTGTGGTAAAATAAGTTTCCCATGGTAAACATTGAATGAGAGTTCCAGTCCGTTTCCATGTTTGTTGATCAAAATGTCTGCTTTGGTACATCAATGAAGCTTTAGAGTTCAATTGTATGGCGTTTAAAGAGTGAATAATACTCAATACAACTCTATGGTCACTCATAAAAAACTCATGACTGGTATGTACTGAGATAGAGTCTATGTTGATTGTGAACATTAAATCAAGTGTATTATTCCCCCTGGTTGGTTTTCGGACCTGTTGAACCCATCCACAAATTTCTAATGTTTCAACTAGCTTGTTATATCGACCTGGTACCGGAGTCAAGCCCCATTTAATTTTTGGCAGGTTAAAATCGCCTCCGATGATTTTAAAAGTATGCGGTTGGTGCGAAGCAATGGAAAATATGTTTGTTAGTAATTTGTCAAACTTAGTATCCGCATGAGGTGGTCTATATATGCATCCCACAAGTAAATAATTTTGGGATCCACAGTTTACAGTAACCCAAGTGGAGTCGTCTATAGCATCAAGGGATTTATCCTCAAATTTGCACGCTTGAATGTCTGAACGGACATAGATAATTGTACCGCCTCCTATTCCATAACATCTATCGGTTCTAAAGAAAACGTAGTTATCTACATTCAAGGAATGATCGGATATAGATGAATTACACCACGTTTCCGTAATAAGTACAATGGTTGGATTAACAAGGAATAAAAGAGTTTTAAGATGAATAATTTTATTAGACAGAGAGCGGGCATTGAACGAAAGAATAAGAAACTCAGAGTCATCATAGTGAAGCAGGTTAGAGTATAAATCGCAATTGGTAGTTCCATGAATACTCATAGGATTAGCTAAGGTAAGAGTCGTGTTGCGAGGGGAAATAGATTCAACCACTTTGTCATCATGTGAAATATGTTTACCGTTGCCGGCAGGAAAGCCGGCGGAATTACAAAAAAATTCTTTTCATTGCTATTGGATATAACATCTGATAAGGGCATACTGTACATATTGGGAGCCGGACCAAGAAGGCTATCAGGTCTATGGTTGTGACCAAGTGGCCAATTTCAATTCAGATAACTATTTATACCTGACGTATGGGTAACGTGTTTAAGACGTTTATTTCCAAGGTTTGTGGTTGATTTCGGCTTCTTCATAAGTTGGAGAGGATTGTGTACTGTTAAACATACTTGCGATGGTTTGCGAGGTTCGAATATATCAACGTTAAGTGCGTGGTCAGTTATATGAATGTTATGATTAGTTTTTCTGTTATCCGTTGCACAGTTACTGTAACTGGGTGTTGCACTAACAGGGGTTTGGATTGTGTTATCCCATTCTTCATCAGCACAACTACTTCGGGTTGAATCTAAGTCAACATTCTTATCCATAGTAGTGTTGATAAATGGAGAGTTAGAAATAACTGTGAATGCAATCAAGTTGTGAGCATTAGGTCAAACAGAAGCTATAAATGAATCCGTCAAAATAAGGTATGTGATGTCATTACAGCCTACATATGTAGCGAAAAATAAATCCCCAAAATAAATAGTTCTGTTAGCCTTTGATACTTGTTGCTAACGTCACTAGTTTTGATAGACATATCTAGCTGAAGACGCTCGGTCACGCATCAATAATGGGTACGCATCCCTTACAACCTTTAGCCAGATTAGATCGGTCGCTTCTCGAGATATCGACAGCTTTTCAAATTTATGTTAAGGGGTACTCCTCGTTCTACCAATAGAAGAAACCATACTAGTAGTGAATAGGTTTTTGTTTCAAAATTCTTGAAGGTGAATTCGAGCGTGAGGTTACCTTTTCAAACATATAGATCTTTACGACACTCAATGTAAAATAATGTGAAGTATAATCTTTATGCAAAGTAAGGAAGTGAATAAATTCTTGAGCTTCAATGTTCTAATATTTACTTAGATGCTTGCGGCAAACTTTCAACCAATCAACCTAGGTTGTTACAGAGTCATACTAGGCAACGAGTTCAAAATTAAAAGTAACTGCAAGACTAGAGCTATAAAGGCTTAAAGGTGTTACGGGCCATTTATAAGTTATTTCACTACTTAGACGAAGAAATGTATAAGGTATCATACCCGACCTCTATTAGGCTGCGTTTGTAATAAAGGATTGGGGTAGAGAGTTCCTGTTTCTAGTATTAGGTGGACGTGCTAGAACTTGTTGAACGACGAGGGACCAAAATGATTAAAGGTCTCCCCAGCCTATCTTATGAAGACAGTCTCAGACACCTAGATCTATCTTCGACATCTTACCGAAGATTACAGGATTATCTAACACTAGCTTACCATATACTAAACGATGATCTTCGTATAAATATGCTTTTCTTTTCTTTCCACATAGAACTGACCATTAGAAGACATTCTAAGAAAGTTCTGAAACTGAGAATAAAATGTTGACGTCTGGAGTGACGTTTCTCGCACTGAGTGGTGAACTAATCGGATTCTTTGCAAGAAAACGTAATATCAGGGCTTTATGTTGATACATTCGAAGCCAGAATGGATCTCCACAGTGCCACAAATTGCAAGGATTTATGTAGGTCGAATGACCTCCTATCCTTACTACTGAAAACTGAAGATGTCAATGGTAAGGAGAAGCAATACAAATGAACGGTGCTACAGGCAAGAAGTGCATGAGATTACTAATGTGACTGCATATGTCAGAACCTTTTCACAGAAGTGTTTGGAGATGACGATGTTTGATCAACTTCTGATATGGGTGTTGTAACAAATTCGGCTCCGATCTGGAATGTCTGCAGGGCTATTTACTTTCAGAAGTCGGTTAAAATCATAAATTATTTACCAGAATTGTTGATATTCATTCTGGAACTTGTAGTAAAATTCTGTTGAAAAATAATGTACGTCCAAATCCTCCATACAAATAGCCTGATACACTTTGATACTAACAATGAATGATGTAAATTTCGAGTTATTAAAATAATCTTAGTGAGGAGATTCGCAATAGTGTTTAACTGTTCCAGTCGGATGACGTAAGTTAGAAGCGGTAATTCCGGAATTGTCGACCTTGGCATCGTTCCGAGTTGTTATTCGTCTTAAATTCGTGGAACTTTGTGTTCTCAGTCAATCCCAAACTGACGGGAAGACTATATCCAAAGGGGTTGATAATCCCGGCACGACCCTTTTTGATCGTCTTTAGAGCAATTTTAAAGTTAGTAGACTGTTTGGTGTTAGCAACTACTTGGTCGTATTCACGAATTAACTACCAGTTAAACTAGTTTAAATAGGTTCCTGAAGTAAACCAGGTTAATTAATTATGTCCTACGGTAGTCTCTGTTATTTTTCGCTTTTTTTGTTTGTTGAATTACTCCAGAAGCTGTCACTTATCGTGATCATAGTTCCCCTTGGATTTATTTTGATATGTTGCTTTTCCCTTATCTACGCTTTTGATGTAACATCATCCGCTCATAAAATATTTTGTGCCACAAATACGTAATTGTGTTATCTTTTTGGTGTTTTTAAACTTTAGTTTTTATATGTTTAGCTGTAGTTTATTCATTTACCGTTTGAAAGTTACTCGTCGGTTTATAAATTAACCCTCAATAATTTTTCCGTCTTCAATAAATTCATTTTCATTACTTTCATTCTACCTTAATAAATGTTATACATTCGTCGCACTAATTGATCTTGGTCACAACTCTCTCTGTGCTAAACTTGTTTTAGATGGATGTGGCTAAGCTTTTACACTTAAACAATGAGAAACAGGCTATCCTTTTGCAACTGTCTGTGGTGTGTGTCGCTGCTATTTTAGGTAGGTTTTTGTTGATTTCCAATTATGATCAAGCTTTTGCTGTTAGATTGTACTCTGTTATTCGTTTCGAATCTGTTATTCATGAATTTGATCCTTATTTTAATTATCGAACTACACGTTTTATGACTGAGAATGGATTTTACCAATTTCATAATTGGTTCGATGATATGGCATGGTATCCACTTGGAAGGATTATTGGAGGTACAATTTATCCTGGTAAGTTTGAGATATTGAAGATATATCATAGGTCTTATGATGACATCGTCTTTTATATACTCACTACTTCATGCTATAAATGTTACCATGGATATACGAAACATATGTGTATTTTTGGCACCTTTGTTTTCAAGGTGAGATTGTACAATAATTATCTTCACAGTTTTACAACTTTAGCAACCTTTTTACTGACAAGTGAGATTCAGGACACTAGTTCTGGCCTAATAGCTGCTGCTTTGGTTGCAATTGTACCTGGTTACATTAGCCGATCAGTTGCAGGTTCTTATGATAACGAAGGAATCGCCATATTCTGCATGATATTTACGTTCTATCTGTGGATTAAAGCTGTTAAAACCGGTTACTTGTTCTGGGCTTGCGCTTGCAGCTTAGCGTACTTTTACATGGTATGTTGGTTGTTCTCACGTTTACTGATTCTAGGTTTCTTCCTGGGGTGGTTACGTATTTTTAATAAACATCATACCTATTCATGTATTAATGCTCATGCTTACTGGGAGATTTTCAAGTCGTGTTTACTCTGCCTACTCTACTGTAATTTCAGTTGTTTAAACGAGCTTTTTTATAGGTCTACGTTCTAGGCACTATACTGTCAATGCAGATTAGTTTTGTTGGCTTCGCTCCTATAATATCCAGTGAACATATAGGAGTAAGTTTTTCATTTTTGTTGCCACTTTAGTTTTAGGCTCTCGGGGTGTTTGGATTATGTCAACTTTTCTCCTTTTATACGTACCTTCGTGGGGCTTTATCTTCTGAACAACTGTCAATAGTTTTGCGTGTTTTTGGTTTATCATTGTTTGGTATATCGTTGATTGGTGGTTCTGTGTTGTCTGCTACAGGTGAGCATTGATTTTTCTTAAGCTTACTCCGTGGAGAACTTCATCTGTTCATATCTATTGCATACTTTTTTATAAATAAAAAATTAGTTGCCGATCACCAGTAATCAGAAAGTAATTTATGGTGTACCAACTAGTCCTTTATGAGTTTCCAGGGTTTATGATGGTGTATGTAAATGAACGTTTACATTAAAAACTAGGAATAACTTAATTTAGTCAGAAATCGTTCAGGTAAATGTAGCAACTAGAAATGGAACCCTAACATATTAATGGAATTCATCACAAAAGTCTATTCTTGTGTAGCAATATTAACTAAGTCTAATGGGTACTTTACGTTCAATCGATCATCCGCCATCAACTAATAAGTACATTTTTGGAAAAATCGCTCATGATATATTTAACTGGCATGTGAGTGGACGACCAGACAGCTGTGTTCAAGTCTTATCGTTGACCAAACTCTTCATTACTCACACTCATTACATCAGTCCAGGTTGTCAGATCAAATAGACAAGGTAATGGTAAGAAAATGTCGACAATACGATAGGACCTCAAAAAGGCAAAGTTCCAATTAACATACGAATTTCTAAGGTTTCAATAAAATAATTTCTTTTCTTGTAGTAGAATGTGATATAGTAAGCTTTTGTATGTTAGCTTAATGGCTAAAGAATTTGACCTTTAGGGGTTACGTCATCGCCGTGAACGTTATTCAGCTTGGTTGAGTGCAGCTTTAAATCTCATAAAAAAGCCTGTACCTGGTTTCATTACTAGGTTGTTTACAATCAGATTAAAATAATTGGCATCGTGTAAAGCTTACAGTATGAAAAGTGCATTTAAGGTTGATATTGTATGTTTAAAATTATGGTGGTAAACGGGAACACTATCCATTAGTAATCTTGACTTTTATGATAAACAGAAAATGGTTGTACTTTGGGTGATTCAATATTCTATTTTGATCATGGCATGAGCTTATTATATATATATATATATATATATATATATATATATATATATATATATAGGGGCTTACAAACTTATATTGTAGTTTTGTAAATACTTATATTTTCTAAAGTTAATGGCTAAATTATTTATATAATCCAGGAAAAATATCACCTTGGACTGGACGATTCTATTCTCTGTTGGACCCAACTTATGCCAAGAATCATATCCCAATCATTGCTTCTGTAGCTGAGCATCAGCCGACCGCTTGGAGTTGTTATTATTTCGATCTTCATTTCTTAACGGTAATGTTTCCTGGTAAGTTAAAAAAAACTTCATTCGGCGTGCTAATAAAAATTCTCTTTTGATTTTTAGTGGGTTTATACTATTGCTTCCGGAAATTGACAGATGCTAGTATCTTTGCAATAATATATGGCGTTACAAGCGTTTACTTTTCGGTTAGTTACAATAATTATTTGTTATTATTAGGTATCATAATTATTGGTTTTTTGTTGCACTTTTCCCACTGGTGTAAGGGTAGTGATAATACTTGATTGTTCGAACAATAGGGAATTAGGGTTCAAACTTACAATCTATCGGTTAGGGTTAGGTAGTTTAACAACGAACCCACTGTTTTATCTATCATAATCATGTCTTTTGCTGAACTATAACTGAATTACTATTATTTTTAGTAATCAATAGTGATTGATCGATTGTCATTTCGTTGCAGTGACGACAACATGTGTAAATAAAATGTAAGCGAATTCGTAATTGTTTTTTGTTGTAACTGGTTCATCAGCCATTATCTTGTGTTCTAAACCGATTAATGATGATAACACTCATTTACCAAGTGTAGATTCGTGTAGTTTGAGCCACACCTTATGTTAGGTTAAATGATACTCCAATGCTACTCAAGCCTATAACCTAGTGATTGAAGGTCAAACTCCTTAATTTCTAATCCAACTTTCACTTATATGGCCAGTTAGTGACATATACTTGTTCAATAAAACGATCTTTGACCATGATCGCTCGTACAGTATACTTCTTGAATTAAACCATGTATGTCTTAAACAACCCAGTTTGGTTACGCTCATGTCTAGAATGATAAATTGATTGAAAACCCTTGATAAACTCCGTATTTTTTAAGTAAACAGAATATACCTATTAAGACGTAAAGTAAGGAAGATTAGTTCAGTGAAGAGTTCTATTTTCGGCGAATTCACTTTCAAAGCTGTACAATCGCAAATATATACTTGTTTTTCAAGATGATAATAATCACAATAGAAATGATAAGAAAATTTGTTAAATATGGTAACAGTGAGGTAGAATAAAAGAAAGCAATAAGACGTTTTTTTATCAGGGAAACTAACGATAGTTTTATTGTTAAGGGCTTGAATGTTCATCGTGAAGATAGGTAGGAAAATTATAATTGGGAAAGGATGGCTCAATGTAATAAGATAAATTGTTGAAATTGAGATGAAATGTAATCGGGAGGACTACAGAAATAAACTAGTTGGGGGCAAAAAGTAATATAGAGAGAATAGAAGAGGAAGCAGATGGCTTTGAAAGAAAAAAGAAACTTATAAGACATTAAGACCATGGTAGAAAAAGAGGTTGCACCAATTTCTCTTGAACACAATTCTGGTTTGAATCAACATGAACATCGATTTTGAGGGTGGTAGTTATAGACGTTCTAAAGAGGAGAATTTCCGATTCTCTAAAAAGAACGTTCTTCGCTGCAACTTTGGGAATAGTGTTCGCCGACCGATCAGTGTTCACCAGTAATCTTAAAGATAAATTATCTCATCTGATCAACTCTATGAGCATTTATCAGTCAGTCAGCCAGCTACAACGTAGGACCAGGCAATTATGTGCATCGGTCCAAGTTACATTACCTCATTAGCACAACAAGATGAACACCGGATTCTTGGCAGTTAATTCAGTGGTGGTAATATATAGAAGAAAGATTGCATATAAGGATATAGTACAGGAAGGAATAATTAGTTCGTAGAAAGAAAGATATGAAGCGATTTTAAAGTGATAATTTAAAGGAAGACAAAAAGTGTATACACCTACGCTATTGTGATCGATTCTGAGCCATGTCACCCACAGTCCCCAAACTATTGGTTACGATAATCACGCGGACCCCAACCAAGTAGTCTAGTAGTATCTACCAACATGGCTCAGACCAGTAGTTAGTGACTTCAAGCACTGATACCACGTTTTGGTTTGACAGCCCCTAACTTTCTTCCAACCATTTATCATTTTACCTCGGCATGTGAAGCCAGGTATACAGATCATTCGATGCCTACTTTATCCAAAAGAATTCAAGAACGTTACTCGGCTTGGATAAAAGGAGGCGGAAACGGATCAATAGTCGAATACCTTATGAAGTGAGGGCCATCAATCAAATCGGAGTCAGCGTTCAACGTCAACCGCAAGGTAAATAGAAGGCTTCCACAGGCAGCTATATTGCATCTTATTACTGTCGAAGCAATAGCTATTCATCTAGAAAAATCAGAATTATGTTCAAGAGAAATTGGTGCAACCTCTTTTTCTACCATGGTCTTAATGTCTTATAAGTTTCTTTTTCTTTCAAAGCCATCTGCTTCCTCTTCTATTCTCTCTATATTACTTTTTGCCCCCAACTAGTTTATTTCTGTAGTCCTCCGATTACATTTCATCTCAATTTCAACAATTTATCTTATTACATTGAGCCATCCTTTCCCAATTATAATTTTCCTACCTATCTTCACGATGAACATTCAAGCCCTTAACAATAAAACTATCGTTAGTTTCCCTGATAAAAAAACGTCTTATTGCTTTCTTTTATTCTACCTCACTGTTACCATATTTAACAAATTTTCTTATCATTTCTATTGTGATTATTATCATCTTGAAAAACAAGTATATATTTGCGATTGTACAGCTTTGAAAGTGAATTCGCCGAAAACAGATTGTTTTGAGAGGAAAAACGATGATTGATTCGAAATTACAAATTTTATTAATTTGTATTTTAAGAAATTTAATGTAGAACTGTAGAACTGCAAACTGGATTTATGATCGTAGCCAGGTTTTGGCCAGATTGTTCGTTTGCTTGTGACTTATTAGAATGTGATTGTATGATGCTATACGAAGTAACATAGTGACAATAGTCGCTTTATTAAAAACTATGTATTTTGTACGATTCATTTAATATTATTTCATTCATCAAAAATCACTATCTGTGGGTGGGTTATAATATTTTCTAGATGCCCTATCCAAGACAAAGTAGGTCGTTATCTTAGGGGATTGCCCCCAAGCTTCTAACTTAGGGGTTTGGTCCACTAGCAGTGTTATAAGATCCAGTAACCTAAGTAGGTTTGCTTTTCATTAACTTCTTTGGAATTCTAGAGTTCATAATTCCCATTTATTTGGAATAATGGTTTTCCAAACTCTTAGGTGAACCCTCTGTACCTATCAATCCTATCCAAACACTAAATACTAGACTAGCAGTAAGTAGGACTTTCCTGAGAAAGGCTGTCAATCCTCAGCCTCATGATAGGACTTGGACAAGAAAACTAAATTCTCTCCATCTCCGGTCGTTCTGTGACACTATACGGCGCACTCTTATGATAATTCATTGTACCACTACCTTCATATACTATAAATATTATCCCATATTGCTTATTTGTAACCGTGATTTTCCTGTTAATAAATAACTATTGCATTCACTGTATGTTTTAACGAATTGTGCTAAATCATTCTTCCAATTTTATTAACCCTGGCATTACGTAATAAGCCAATAAAAAACCTAGTTTCCTGAACTATAATTTACATAATGTGATTGTTTTCAAATATGTTCTCTAATTTTCTAGGGTGTTATGGTTCGGCTTATCTTAGTATTAGCACCAATAATGTGTATTTTGGGTGCAATTGGAGTTTCTGGAATTTTGAAATCATTTTCAGTTAATCTTAATGTACCAGATAGTCAAAGTACGAAAACACCAAGTAAACTTACCGCAGCTAATGGATATCCATCTATTCCAAATAGTAATAAACTTTATAAAAATACAGTCCAAGACTCTACTTATCCGTTCAAAAATACAGTAAGTTCATATCTCTTTGTTTCTGGCTAAAACATATTCTGATAATAAAGTACTATCATTTACTGAGTCATATCCAATATCTAGTTTCGTTAGGGTAACCGTTATGAGTCGTAGTCTGAAGATCGTTTGAATTACTACATTTGTACCCATTCTTAATATCATTATAAATTTTGATTTCCATGCCACTCGTTCATTTTTATGTGGTTTTCCACTATACTTGATGTTATTCCGTTAACTCCTTTTACCATGTAAATATCCGCTCTTTAATAATGTGAACTATCACAACTCGAATTAAAACTTGCGCTAGATCCTGTTTTTTTGGTAACTGATGGAAAAGACAGTGGTTTTGGGTAACACCAGATAACTTTTCAGACTAATAAAGGAAACGAATTAAGAAGTCAAGTGTAAGTGAGACAATCGCCGAAAAAGACGGCACTCTTATCTGCTCTCACCCAGACGTTTAGAACGATGGGCGGAACACTTTAAAGAGCAGTTCAGCTAGCCTTCATCTACGACCATCCTCAAATAGCCTGAATGGAACATTGAATTACGTCCCCCGACTCTAATTGAAGTTCAAAAGGCTATAGCTAATCTGGAACGAGGAAGGGCAGCTGGTCCAGATGGATTGGCTCCAGAGGTTTTTAAGGATGGTGGTCCAATTTTATCGATTACGTTGACTAATATTTTAGCTAAAATCTGGGAGCTGGATGTAATTCCATCTGACTGGTCACAATCACTTAATGTCCCAATGTATAAAAAGGGGTCAAAATCATCCTGTGATAATCATAGAGGGATTAGTTTGACTAGCATACTAACCTTAATAGTTATCGGACGCCTAACTAAGACTCGTGAACTGCAAACACGAGAAAATCAGACTGGCTTCAGACCTGGTCGTGGCTGCATCGACCACATATTCACCATTCGTCAGGTTTTAAAACACAGGCATGCTTATCGGCATACGACAATGACAGTTTTTCTTGACTTGAAAGCATCATTTGACTCTGTAGATCGAGTGTTTCTGTGGCAGTGTTTGTCATTGAAAGGTGTACCTTAGAAGTACATAAACCTTGTGAAGGCTCTTTACTCGAATAGTACCAGTCGAGTATACTGCGCGGCAGTTCGTCCTATTCTACTTTATGGCTGCGAAACATGGACGTTAATAGTAGAATATACTGGTAAGTTACTAGTACTTGATCACAGATGTCTTAGAAATATTGTTCACATCTGCTGGGATCACCGGGTAAGTAATAGTGAGGTTAGACGCAGGTTATTAGGGAATGATGGTGAATTAGTTGATGAAGTTGTAAATCTTCATCGACTGAGATGGTTGGGTTACGTGTTGCGTATAGCTGAACACCGATTACCACAACGCGCAATGATGACTAGTGTAGGGGATGGTTGGAAGAAAGGTGTGAGGGGGGCAAACTAAAATGTGGCACCAATCCATGAAGTCACTAACTTCTGGTCTGAGCCATGTTGGTAGATACTACTAGACTACTTGATTGGGGTCCGCGCGACCATTGTAGCCAATGGTTGAAGACTGTGTGATATGGCTCAGAATCGATCACAATGGCGTAGGTGTGTACACTCTTTGTCCTCCCTTAAACCATGAGATTAAGATTGCTTTATAACTTTCCTTCTGCTAACCAATTCTTTCTCTCTGTATCATATCCTTACATACAATCTTTTTTATTTATTACTATAATTCATGTAACTACTATGAATTTGGTGTTCATCTTGTTGTGCTAACACGGTATGGCAATTTGGACCGATGTATGTATGTGGTTGGTCCTACGTTGTAGCTGACTGACTGGTTACTGATACAGTGTAGTACAGTTACGTGTATCTTAAACGATCACTAAGGAGTAACTTATAATTAATAGAATAGCAACAGTTGCAGATAACCCTTGATGATAAGTGTCACACGACACAAAACTATTGTTCAGGTGATGTGTTGTAGGTCTAATTCATTTTCTTTGATGATGCAACGGCGTAAAGAGGAACAGATACTTGGACTACATTGTGGCCCGTGTACTCAGCCCGTTATTACATTGACAGTTGTATTCTCTAGTTCGGCTATTGATTATTTCCGTTATAGTACCTGTAAGATCGATGATCTTTTTGCCAAATAACGCAACGGCCAAGGAAAAACAACCAATACCTTAATGCTAATTAATTATCAAGCTGCTCTTAACCCAGTATCCAATTAGAAGACTAATATAGAAAGATTGATTCTTTAGTGTACTATATTCAATTATGACGCAACTCATAAAATAATATACCTGAAATGCCTGACCTCACGGCAACATAATTAGAAAACTACAATGAGTACATCACTTGGTTACAAGTGATATCCCAAATCGATTGCAATGAGCACCCTGAATCTGTTATTCTTCGACTATATAACCTACTTAAAGTACACAAAAAGGACGTCCCTGTAAGCCTCATAGTCAACGTGAATAACTTTCCAAATCATGCTACGGCCAGTCAAAAGTCTTCTCAATAGGTAGATCTCTGTCAATTCATTTGATTTTATTTATTTGATATCCGATATCAGTGTAACCTGGATGAAAGTGATTTATTAGGCTTCACCTCTTTCTCTGTCTCTGAAAATATTTCTCTCACGAAAAAATCTGCCTTGAAACAATCTACGTTGAAAACAGCAACCTAAATCTCAGTGCCTCAAAACACTATCCGAATCAGTTACTTCTTTGATATACTTTTAATATCCAGTTTACATTTAATAATGATTTTTACCGACAAACAGATGGAGTAGAAAGGGGATCACCGTTCGACCTACTTTTAGCTGATTGTTTCACAGTCAATCATGAAAACTCTGTTTAGATCCACCATTGATAGTTTCCATCTTTACAAAACATTTAAATGATACTTTCAATATTTGTAACGGAAATATCGATTCAATAACAATGACATAATGGATATCTTTGGTCCTTTCAAAAAAGAATGTTTATGTAGTGTAATAATAATTTGTCATTTTGTAGTTTATGTGTTATAGAATTTTTTCTAAAAATGTAAATCAGCATATCTTCCGTGCTTTTTTTCTCAATCCTTACAGGTAGCTTCATTTATGGTTCTGCTTATATTATTTCTGTTAATACTATTCACTAGGCATTGTATATGGGTTATATCGTCGTCATATTCTCATCCATCGATTGTGTTAGAAACTGTAGATGGTTTTGGTAATCGTCATATATTAGATGATTATAGAGAAGCATATTATTGGCTTAGAGAGAATACAAAGGCTGTAAGTTGTTTAATAGAAATTGTTTTCGTATTTCTCTTGTTTTGTTTTTAAATTAAATCCTCCTATGACATTATTGGTACTATTAGTTGGGACGACATAAAGAAGATGGATTGAGTTTGTTCTCTGTTGTCCCATCCTTTTTAACAGTTTATCGAAGTGTCTTCGTTTCATTTAATGACATGTTTATGCTAATTACTTTTATTGCTTAGGATGCTAAAGTTATGTCTTGGTGGGATTATGGCTATCAGATTACTGCTATAGCTAATCGAACTGTGCTTGTGGACAATAATACATGGAATAATACTCATATTGGTCGTGTAGGTCAAGCTATGGCATCATCTGAAGAGGAAGCTTATGAAATTATGAAAGAATTAGATGTTGACTATGTACTGGTTATTTTCGGTGGTGTACTGGGGTACAGTTCTGATGGTAAGTAGTTTAAATCATAATTTTTGTGAACATTCATACAAGCTTTACTTAAATTATTTTTATTTTAACACATAGATATTGATACAAGGACGCACCGAATACATATGCGCCACACAAATCTCATTTGATATGTGTGAGGGCTGTGATACTGCCCGGGTGCCCGAACCGAAGCAGGTGGTTTTCTTAGGGGGCCACTCCCTGAGCCTTCGACCTGAAAGTCTGACCCACAAGGCAGTGGAGCATCGTGAGGAGATGCAGTCCCATGGAAGCCGGTGACTAACGATTGGTTCATACGCCATTTGTTCCCGCAGGATACTGGAGCCCATATGCACCATTGGTTTGGGATCCGGTTAAAGCGCCGGACATTCGCTTTTCGTCCTCTCATTTTCGTAAACAACACCCCCGCCACGAGAAGGCAATGAGTAGGACTTAAAAATACGATTCGTCCAAGGTTGTTGTATTAAGTAATCTAGAAATTTACAAATTGAACAGGGTTTTAAATAAACAAGGCTTCTGTCATATAAAGTAAACTCAGGTGTAGACCTTTGAGAATGATTGATTAAACGTTACCAAATAAAGAGCCTTAGTTTGATTGTCCCAAATCTACATGCTGCTGGAAAAAAATCAGTCTACATTCCACTTTGTCCAGTTATATCAATAGTATGTTCTTGGGTGAAACGAAAAAGGTCTAAATGATTGATATGCTATATAAACCTCAACAGGAACAGGTTAAGTAAGGTGTTCTCGTTGTATTGGTCTGACGTAACACCTTATCGTACATGGATCATAGATCCTTTCGCACAAGCAAATATAAACGATGATCATTTTTATTGTACTATCTAGAATCGAATACTTTGGATTTAGAAATTGAGTACCTAAACTACACTCTTTTCAGTCAGTCAATTAGTCTCGAGTGTTATCAATGGTACAAAGGCGGTCATCTTCTCACCGTTGCTCACACTATGAATGGATATTTCTTGTTACGTCCTACGGTGTTTACTAGTAAGAATGGTAATACTACATGTGAATGGATATTAATAATTCTGGCCAGGTACCCTCACTCATTGGTTCGTGTTCATAGTTTATAGTACGTGTCAAACATAGTGAGGACACTAAAAATTATCATCTAAGAGATTATCAAACAATATACTGTTATTGACTTTATCACACTTTGTCATATTTAAAGACCATTTATTGTCGTTTACAAAAACATGCGTTTGACTATATTCTTTCATAATAGATATCAATAAATTTATCTGGATGGTACGTATAGCTGGTAGTACAGAAAAAGGTCGTCATGTACATGAGAATGATTACTATTCACCGCAAGGTGAAATGCGTGTAGATGATAGAGCTAGTCCTACCATGCAGAACTGTTTACTGTACAAACTTAGTTATTATCGATTCTGGGAAATGAAAACTGATAAAAGTAAGTCATTTTACGTGATTTAACTTTTATCCTAGTGTTATAACGCCCGGTTTTCCACATTTACATGTATCATTATCATTCTCTAGATATAACGCGGAGCAAGAATTTATTCCTCTGCATTATAGTTGTGGCCAGTGATTAGACACTAAGCTAAATATATAACAATACGTTGTCTCCATTATTTTTAATATTGAAGAATTGTGATCTCCTTTACTTTGTTACCATCTAAATCCATTCTTTAAATTTTTTTAAAGCTAAGCCACCTGGATTTGATCGTGTACGTGGTCAAGTAATTGGGCATCGAAATTATGAACTACATGGTTTAGAGGAAGCATTTACTTCTTCCAGTTGGCTTGTACGAATATTCCGGGTAAAATCATATGCAAATCGAGGAGTTAACTAATTTTTGTATTTTCTTTTTCAAAATATATGTTTATATATAAAGGATAATTAGCGGTGAATTTCTCTAAATTGTGGAATAATTATCGTTCGGTTCCTGGCCATCTATCCCATATGCATTAAAAAAGCCGTTTATGAAGTTTCGATAAAGGATAAACCGTCAATTCATTAGTTAGCACTGTACTCTGGAAATATTTACTCAAATATTATAGGCCTTGTGCAAAGATACATTAGGAAGATCACAAAGTTAGTCATATCTCTGCGATCATCGAGAACAACAGTGAAATAAGACAGGGTAACCCTATGTCGCCGTTTTTTTCCAACTTTTTGTCTGATGCTATTGCAACACACCCAGTGTGGGATTTCACTTGAGTTGTAATTATGTTTCCGAATGCTTAGCTCTCAAGTACGTAAAGGTCTTGTTATGTGATTTAGTCTACTTAAACGAAACTCAATAAGTTAGCGTGAAACATCTGTAAATATGGCTTCTACTTTGCCTTATTTTAGTGGGATCATACATTTAGACGTCAATTAGATCGGAAGATGTTGTCGATAGGCTCACCACTTTTGTGGACCTTTATCTGACTCCAGTAACATTGTATGACTGATTGCTATCGAAATACACATATAGGCTATCCTTGTATGTAATTATCGACTTAAATCGCATTGATCAAATATGAGAATGAATTCCGAGTAATTATATTTCATATAATCGTTGATCCAGACAAAAAATCGGAGGAGCGAAGCGAAATAACGCACGGTGGGGAAGGCGTGTGAGCCAACTTCACTTAGCCAAGCATTAACCAATACTTATAGTCACACAAAAGTAAGCTAGAGACATATGATGAATAGGATAAGAAGTGTACACACACATACGCTCATATAGAAAGTCAGAGTTGATAAGTGAATAATTAACAAGGTCAAAACGTGACTCAAGAAGAGTGGATAAATTGGCCTGTCCAGGAACTACAGTAAGTTACATGGGTTTAACATAGTAACCGACACTACATTATCAATAGTCTGTACCTGCAGTCGCTACGGTGGATAATTCACACCTGTCGCCAATACTGTGTTAACAATATTGAGCCCTAGCAACGTTTAAGCATCGTACACTTGTGCATTACTTTTACCAACGCTGGGACTAGGTAGGAGAGGCGGTCAGTTAGAAAAACAGCCTTACGAATTAGAATCCATTGATGGGGTCTTGTATATTGCGTAAAACAATAGCTTCATGTGTTGTTGGATGATTTAGTAAGGGAGTTATTTATGATCTTATTTTGAACAGTTGAATATCCCATTTAACTGAGAGAAGTTTATTATGGTTATGTTTTAACTTAGCCTACATTCGACTATGTTTACTCGTTTATTGCCTAAATAATTTTACCATCGCCAAGTTGATATCATCTCACTTCTTGTGATTCAGTTTTAGTCCCCTATCATACTAATCATGGCCTGTATTACAAGAAAGAATAAATACCAAAAGTGTAACGTATACTCGAACTATAAATATTATACAATTGTTGGATTAATTTACTAGCACATACAAAGCTTCTCAAAAAAAAAGAAAAGGAAAATTGGCTAGAGTAAAGCAACAGAGATGTTGAAAAACAAAATCGTCAATTAAACTGTAAAATATTTTAATTTGTGGTAACAACTTGACATTAAAAATAAGCATTCCTATTGTTCAGTTAAACAAGAAAAAGGACTTTTATTCTTAATATGAAAGTAGTCTAGATTTACAAGAGGAAAACAAGTAGATAAAATTAGCGGAAACAAATTTAGAAAACTTTCAATGAAAGTAGAAAGAAGATCATACACGTAGCTTTGTAGGTTACTGTGAACGCACTTTGATCGGCTTTCGTCGTTTTAATTCCTTTTGTTGTGGATTCTGATCAGTTTCCGTTTGATCGCTAGTGTCTTCGTCTTCCCGTTTAACTTTAACATATGAAGAACATAGAATTCACAAAAATTATATTACAAAATATGTTATATCCTAGTGAAGATTACATTAAGAGTAACGTCCTAAGACTATTATTTATATATTCTCATGGTATAAATATTCGGTAACTAGATTATGTATATCTATATTTCCCTTGTTATAAGCTTTATTTTGACCTACAATTTATTATTGTACGGTTTAAGCTATGTTCAGTTCATTGACTACTGCGCCTCCCACGTTCACAGCCACTTTTGGCTATATTTTGTATGAGTGTTATTTCTTATTTTATGCTGGGTTGGGGTCTGTTTGTTTAGTATATAAACCCAGTATGTCTGAAATAGATGATTCGCATAATGGAGGCTGTTATTGGCATTCTGGTCTCAGCTGAACGGGCTAGGCGAGCAACGAACCAATAGGATGCTAGGCTGATCAGACCGATCGAACGTCATTGGTTTAGTGCAGTATAAGAGCGAATAAGTCGTGTTTTCATTGCCGAATAGATTACGTGAGAACAAGCACTTCAGAAAGTCACAACAAAATACGAAGACATTTTAGTATTGAAATCTAACTTATTATTGCATGTAATTGCCACTTACCTGGATCCACGAACAAATCAAGAGAATATTAATAATTATCATAGTCTCAATTTATGATGGAATTTACAGATTGATGAAGAGTTGCATTTAGCAATTACGAAACTATTCAAAAAAAGTTGTGCTCAAACTAACAAAACGGTCAGATTCATTTCAACATATCCAACTAAAGCGTAGTTTATTCAGAGAGAAAAGTAAACATTTCGGGCCTATATTTTAACGTATTCTATAATTTAAACTTAGTGATCCAACGCTGTAATATGATGGAATATAATCTTAATTCAATTATACATGTGTATCATAATATATTCATTGAAACGACTCGTTTTCCTACAAATACAGAATAGCCAACTGAATATAACACAATAAGATTTTTTTTAAAAACAGAACTAGTTAGTGAGGATACTGATGTATACCGTATCTCCGATTATTTAATTGATCGTTCCTAGCCATTGTAGAGAACCAGCATCAACAGTAACTACTTGTGTTTCAGTATGCGCTTTTGGATTGCATCTCAGCGAATAGTCGCTTGTGCGCTGTACTATTAAATGAAACTGGGAAATCGGGATAGAAATAAAGGTTGTTGCCTTTTAGTAATCCTTTATATGTATGTTTCCATTAAGTGCAGATCAAATGAATTCAAAAATTATTTCCACCAAAAGATCTTTTACCTCCATAAAGCAACATACTATGCGTAGTAATTGAGACAAGTGAGTTCAATCCTCAGGTTAAGTTGAAATGAATGATATTTGGGACGGGCTTTTGATGCTTCAATTCAGTGAACAAATAACAGTGGCTGACTGCTATGAATACGCTCGAACATCCATTTATTTCTGACAAGAGTCAACTTTAAGGATAGGCACAGGCACTGTTTGATCCGGTGACTTGCAACATTAATTTTACAATGAACACACAATATCGTTTTTACGTTGAAGAGGTTCAAATAACTATGGATTTTTTTCTGGAAAACACATCTGGACTCCGACTAAACTCTGTTGCAGGAAGGCGTTAATTTGGATCCTGTTAGGAGCAGAAAAGTTGCAAGAGGAAAACCTCTTGGAGCTGCATTCGAAGATATCCCAAAGATATATTTATCATGTTACCAAGGTCAATTTAGAAGCTAAAAATGGTCTGAGGAGGGTGTTTGTTCAGAGGTAGCTTTGGAGGATCTACCCTCTCTTCAGTAGGTCTTGTCTAAATTCTCCAGACATCAAAGCTTGCAAATGAATTTCCACATCTTAAGGATTTTTGCAATACATTTTAATTTACTGACTCCTATATTCTTATAATACTTAAGAGGTTTTTGATGGAGTTTTGTTCTCTGAGCTGGATGGTTTAGCCGTGGAGCTTTCATCGTTCTTCTGAACGACATCATCAGCACAAACTTCAGATAGAAGTGAAGTTCCCGAATTTCTCTACATGTTCACAGCTTGTCCTGTGCACTTCGATGTTGATTGGTTCTTGTTGACCTTAAAATTGTCATTGTTTACTTCTTTGCCTTGGCTGTATCTCGCATTGGTTTGATTTTTGTCCCTATGTTTGTACATAATTTTCCTGATTGGTTGAAACCGACCCAATTTATCAACCAGTCAGGAAAATTATGTACAAACATAGGGACAAAAATCAAACCAATGCGAGATACAGCCAAGGCAAAGAAGTAAACAATGACAATTTTAAGGTCAACAAGAACCAATCAACATCGAAGTGCACAGGACAAGCTGTGAACATGTAGAGAAATTCGGGAACTTCTATCTGAAGTTTGTGCTGATGATGTCGTTCAGAAGAACGATGAAAGCTCCGCGGCTAAACCATCCAGCTCAGAGAACGAAACTCAATCAAAATAATCCGCCTGAGCTACAAATCTTCATTTAGGCGGCTAATCATTATCTTTCGATGTATAAATAAAGTAATCTGGGGACAGCGTGAGTGAACACTTCACAAACAGGTCACGTGGTTTTATTTGTCACTGAGAAATGTTTCACAAAATGCTGGACCTTTTCCACTTCAAATTCCTAGAGGTTAATTTCCCTTAATTTGACTCCAATAGATGATATCCCACTAACTGAGTATTGAAACAAGTCAAGTAGTACTATTAATCTACTCAAGAATATTCAAAAGCCAGAACACCAGTTGTTGGGAGAGTTTACTGTCAATAATTAATAAAGTTTGCAAGCATTCAAAAGGCGAGCACACTGGCAAACGCAAATTGAAAAATCCATATATATTTGAGTGTGAAACGATCGTGGATAAATTATTGTGTGTCTACAACCGATGGTAGGATATATAAAGATTAAGGTGCAGATAGCTATACGTTCAATCAGACTAACACATACTTTTACATAGTCGATTGTCTAAATCACAGCACGTCGACAAATAATAAAAAAGAACAATGGGCTTATTAGGAATTATCGCTCTTATTAACTTACATTTATGAACCACCGTTTCCATGTATTGATTATAAAGAATCTGAATTTAGATCCTCACTAACAAACGTAAAACCATGTTTAGTGTTATGTGATAAGACAAACTAAATGATTCCTGATCATAACACTTGTGTAAAACTGTGAATAATGACAGCCACTTTATTGGGTAGAGGGAAATTTGTAACACTGATGACTGAGTGGGTAAATGTTATTTTTATCAGTCAATGATTCATGTCAGTACATTACCTGAGAGCACTGACATTCTGATAAGTGCGACACGTCTGTGTTGATGAGGCTCTTAACTAAAAATCTCTTCCAGCCTTTATTCTATAGCATTACAAGTATATTCACCTAAGTCCCCATAGTTGACTTTTCGTAGCAATGCAAGTTTTAACAGCTCATGCCTAGATAACAGTTTCCTCAGTGTTTTGAGACGGTGACTCTTAAAATCTTTCTAATCTTAAACAGAACATCTTACACTACCAAACTGCAGGTGCCTCTTTTTGCAGCGTGCCAACCAGCACAGCTCTTAGTTCCGTGGTTTCTATTATTTATTGTTTGAACACATAGATATTGGTACAAGGAGGCACCAAATACATATGCGCCACACAAATCTCATTCGATATGTGTGAGGGCTGTGATACTGTCCGAGTGCCCTAACCGAAGCAGGTGGTTTTCCTAGGGGGCCACACCGCGAGCCTTCGACCTGAAGGTCTAATCCACAAGGCAGTGGAGCAACGTAAGGAGATGCAGTCCCATGGTAGCCGGTGACCAATAATTGGTTCATACGCCACTTGTTTCCTTAGGATCCTGGAGCCCATGTGCACCATTGGTTTGAATCATGGTTTTCCAACTCCCCTAGGTGGACTCTCCATGTCCACCAACCAGGTTAAAGAGCCAGACATTCGCTTTTCGTCCTCTCAATTTCGTAGTGCCACGATAAGGAAATGAGTAGGACTTCCCTGGCAGAGGCTATATACGCGTGGCCATGTGAGAGCATTTCGACAGGGAGAGCGGACTCTCGGCCGTACCAGGGCAGTTGGTGGTTCCTAGCCAACTGCCTACAACCACCTAACATTTTAAACTACTGAGGTACGTTAGATTTTGAAAGTAAATAGTATTGTTACCTGTCTGATTACACTAAGCATCTGCCGCTTAGCCTATTTAGGCTAGCTAGGGTGGACGTGACTACGTAGTTGTTGAAACAGAGAAATAAAGATATTCGAACACAAATAAATTTGTCATACTGCATTGTCACAGAAATTATGAATGTACCTTTTCTCTTCTCCTTTTTCCGCTGTCCAGAATCTTGACTAATAAAGAACCAACTCTTAGAAGTATGTGATTGTTGCTTGTCTCTACGATGCCGTTGATGGAAGGTTATGAAATTCCACACCATTAAAGCTTGTGTAGTGAAGAAAAATAGCATTGCAGCAATTCTGTAATAATAAGTACATTCACACGAGTATTGAATGAAATGAAGTACACTTACGCAAACAAAATAAAACAAAAGACTCGGCAAAAACTGTATCAGTCAATATTGACTCTAGAAATCAGTTAAATAACATGGTTTGCTCTCCTTAACTTTCGTTCGACATGCTCTAAGAATATTTAGAATAGTACACCAAACAGTGATTTGACATGATTAAAATGTTACAACCACATCAATCGATAAAAATCTAGTCTTATCATCTTCACTTATCCTGGAAGTCTGATCAGCCATAATGGATTGATGTCTGACGGATTCTCTGCACCGATTCAGAAAGCTCATTTGGCTTTTGCCAAATTACGTCACCCACGGCGAAGGCCAGATATCCGTCTATCAATAAAAGGACGAGTATGCTGTGCGGTAGTTCGTTCTGTTCTTCTTTACGGCCGCAAAACGTGGCCATTAAGAGTAGAAAATACTCGTAAGTTACTACTACTTGATCACAGATGTCTTAGAAGTATTGCTCGCATCTGCTGGGATCACCGGGTAATTAATGGTTAGGTTAGACTCGAGGTATTAGGGAATGATGATGGTAAATCAGTTGATGAGGTTGTGAATCTTCATCGACTGAGATGGTTGGGCCACGTGTTACGCATGCCTGAACACCGATGACAATGACGCGCAATGCTGACTAGTGTTGAGGATGGTTGGAAGAAAGTTAGGGGCTGCCAAATCAAGACGTGGCATCAGTGCTTGAAGTCACTAACTTCTAGTCTGAGCCATGTTGGTAGATACTACTAGACTACTTGGTTGGGGTCCGCGTGACTATCGTAATCAATGGTTGGAGATTGTGTGTGAAATGGCTCAGAACTGATCACAATGGCGTAGGTGTATATACTCTCTATCTTCTCCTAAACCGTGAGATTAAAATTCCCTTATATCTCTCATTCTACGAACTAATTCTTCCTTATAAGCAGTCTTTCCTTTATATATTACTACAATTGAAGTGACTGCTATGAATCCGGTGTTCATCTTGTTGTGCTAATGAGCTGTGGCAACTTAGACCGATACATATATGTGCCTGGTCTAACGTTGTAACTAACTTTCCAACTCCCCTAGGTGAATCTTCCGTATCCACCAACCCGGTTAAAGTGACGGACATCCGCTTTTCGTCCCATAAATTTCGTAAACACCCCCACAACGAGAAGGCAGTGAGTAGAACTTCCCGGAAGTGGTTGTATACGGAAGGCCATGTGAGAGCATTTCGAGATGGAAAGCTGACTCTCCCCAGAGCATTTGGGGGCTCTTACAGTATATGAAATCATCTTGTTCACGACCAAATACATTTATCACTTAATACGTTTTTTTATCCCTAATATCAACCCTTACCCTATGGATTCATCTGTATCCATAATTGCCACCTTTGCAAATTATTTCAGTTCACTAAGTATTGTTTCTGGTCCGCTAAAACTGTACTCCAAACTGAATATTAGGGCTTTCAACGTGGGAACCTTATGTGAAATTGAACAGGCATCATTATCTAGGAGTCTGAAAACTTATCCGATTGGTCTGTAACACATTTTCGATTTTATGTACAGGATTCAAATGTAGTTATTCATTCGACCTTAGCCAGACAATATAAAGGACTAGTGCGATTTACCACTTGTGTACTTTGAGACTTCAATGTTACTTCTCGTAGTCTCGCTGGTGTAGGTATAGTATTAACTTCAAAAGCAGAACAGGTTCTTCTGGATTGTATTACGATGAGTAGTCGCTTGTGCACTGTCCGATTAAATGATATAGTAAGAACACAAACTGATCCCCTTACATTGTCTCTGCTTGCGCTCCCATAGACTGCAATTTGGATGAGAAAAATGAGTTTCACAAAACAGATTCCTGCTGTTAAAACGTAATAATCGTAGTAGGCGATTTTAATGCTCACGTAGGTAATTTAAGACAAGATGGAAGAAACATGACTGAATACATTAGTGTTCCGGATTACTGCAACTGTCTGTTATAAGTATCATCACAGTCGTTTATTTATAACAAGCACAAATTTTAACTACAGAAACGCATATTGTCTGAGAGGGCGACTTACAATATTAACTAAAAGGTACATGCAAATAGACCATCCTAATATCAGGCGTCAATGAAGCTCGACTGAAGTACTACAACTAGTGCTGAAGTATACATTTAGACTTTACGTCCTGGTGAGTATGCGTTTCCCTGTTTCACTGAACACGGAAAATTCACAGTAGGAAAACCCCTTAAAATTTAGGGTACACTGGTACGATCGAGGGTGAGGAGTCAGCTCCCCCTCTCGAAATGCTCTCACATGGCCACGTGTATACAGCCACTGTCGGGAAAGTCCTACTCACTGACTCCTCAAGGCGGCGGTGTCGTTTACGAAATTGATAGCGAATGCCCGCTCTAACCGGGTTGGTGGACATGGAGAGTCCACCTAGGGGAGTTGGAAAACCATGATTCAAACCAATGGTGCACATGGGCTCCAGGATCCTAAGGAAACAAGTGGCGTATGAACCAATTATTGGTCACCGGCTACCATGGGACTGCATCTCCTTACGTTGCTCCACTGCCTTGTGGATTAGACCTTCAGGTCGAAGGCTCGCGGTGTGGCCCCCTAGGAAAACCACCTGCTTCGGTTAGGGCACTCGGACAGTATCACAGCCCTCAAACGAACCAATGATAACTGCTACTGCCCTAATTGTTATTGTGTGGCGCATATGTACTTGCACGCTCTCAGGTCACTGAGACCACTTCTAATCCAATTTCCTTTTCAGGTACCTCCAGAAGAACCCTTCCACGGTGTGGGCAACCGGGAAGTGATAACCGCCCTCATACCTCTAACAGCACCCAAGACCACTGACTGACTGACTGACTGACATATGTACTTGTTGCTCCCTTGTGTTCAAATAAATAAGTGAATAAATGAATCTCAGTCAGCTACAACGTAGGACCAGGCACATATATGCATCGGTCCAAGTTTCCATACCTCATTAACACAACAAGATGGACACCGAATTCATAAAAGTAGTTAATTCAGAGGTGTTGTAATATATAAAAGAAAGATTGCATATAAGGATATAGTACAGCAAGAAAGAATTAGTTCGTACAAAGAAAGATATGAAGCAATTTTAATCTCTTAGTTTAAGGGAAGATAGAGAGTGTATACACCTACGCCATTGTGATTGATCCTGAGCCATGTCACCAAGAGTCTCCAACCATTGGTTACGACAGTCACGCAGACCCCAACCAAGTAGTCTGTATCTACCAACATGGCTCAGACTAGAAGTTAGTGACTTCAAGCACAGATGCCACGTTTTGGTTTGGCCGCACCCAACTTTCGTTTAACCATCTCCAGCACCGGTTAGCATTGCACGTCGTGCTAATCAGTGTTCGGGCATGCGTAACACGTGGCCCAACCATCTCAGTCGATGAAGATTCACAACCTCATCAACTAATTTACCATCATTCCATAATACTCTACGTCGAACCTCACTATTACTTACCCGGTAATCCCAGCAGACGCCAGCAACATTTCAAAGGCATGTGGTCAAATACTAGTAGCTTACGAGTGTCTTCTATTCTTAATGGCCATGTTTCGCTGCCGAAAAGTAGAACAGAACGAACTGCCGCGCAGTATACTCGTCCTTTTATTGATAGACGGATATCTGGCCTTCGCCATAGGTGACGTAAGTTGGCAAAAGCCAAGCGAGCTTTTCGAATCCGTGCTGAGATTTCGTCAGACACCAACCCATTAGGGCTGATCAGACTTAAAATATAAGTGAAGTTGTCAACGCGTTCGACTACCTCATTCCCTATCTTTAGTTCAGGTGTTGACGCAGACCGGTCCTGAAGCAACAACTTGCATTTAGAGAGAGAGGAGCATTCCAAACATCCTGGCATTGTTGCTTAGTGCTACAATTTTATCAGCGTCTTCACCAAACAGGACTACATCATCTGCGTATTCTAAGTCGATGAGTCGACCTCCTGGAAGTATATCAATACCCGAGAATCCAGTCGACGAGAATGTTATTTCTATCAATAAGTCTATGATGAAGTTAAACAAAAATGGAGAAAGTGAACAGCCTTGACGTACACCACTCGAGGTTGCAAAAGCAGATAACAGTTCGCCATAAGCTCTGACTCGACTGGTAGTGTTCGAGTAAAGAGCCTTCACAAGACTTACGTACTTCTGAGGTACGCCTTTCAATGACAGACACCGCCACAAAATCTCGCGGTCTACAGAGTCAAATGCTGCTTTTAAGTCAAGAAAGACTATCATTGTCGGACGCCGGTAAGTATGTCTATGTTCTAGAACCTGACGAATGGTGACTATGTGGTGGATGCAGCCACGACCAGGTCTGAAGCGAGTCTGATTCTCTCGTGTTTGCTGTTCACGAGTCTTAGTTAAGCGTCTGATAATTATCGAAGCTACTATTTTAGATACTATATTAGTCAAACTAATCCCTCTATGGTTTCCACAGGATGATTTTGACCCTCTCTTATATATTGGGACGATAAGTGATTGTGACCAGTCAGATGGAATAACGTCTAACTCCCAGATCTTAGCTAAAATATTCGTCAACCTAATCGCTAAAATTGGACTACCATCCTTAAAGACCTCTGGAGCCAATCCATCTGGACCAGCTGCCCTTCCTCTTTTCAGATTAACTATAGCCTTTTGAACTTCTGCTAGAGTTGGGGGAGATTGGTACAAATCTTCTCCACCATCTCAAAATCATATAAGCGTAATACGCTTCTCGTTGTAAGAGTAGGGGGACCTACTTCAATGTTCCATTCACACTGACTGGGAATGGAGGGTAGTTGTAGAGTAGCTGAAGGCCAGCTGAACTGTTCTCTGAAATGTTCCGCCCATCGTTCTAAACGTCTGGACTGAGAGCAGATGAGGGTGTCGTCTTTTTCCGAAATAGTCTGACTTACACTTGACTTATTAGTTCCAGTTCCTTTTATTAGTCTGTAGAGCTGTCTTGTGTTCCCTATAGCCGCCGCCTTTTCCATCTCTTTTGCTTTCGTTGCCCACCACTGCTCATGGTCGTTCTTTAGACTTTTGCTTAATCTAGATCTGATTTGTTGTCGCTCTTCATCGTGTTCAGAGCCTGATGGGATGAGTTTACGAGAATCCATCAGTGCAATAGACCTAGAGGAAATCCATTGGTTCTTTGTAACCCTGTGGTTTAAATCACTAACAGATGTCACTGCTGTTTTCACAGTTGTTTGTATAGCTTTCCAAGCAACATCTGGGTCAACCTCGTTTTCAGAACTACCTAACTGTGACCTCAGTTGTTCTTGGAACCTACTTTTGGTTTTCTCGCTACTCAATTCAGTTCTAATGGGTCTTTTTACTGAAGCTTTTTTGCGTCCAGTGAGGCACAAGCAGATGCGTGCCCGTATTAGGGCATGGTCGGAGTCCAATCAGGTACTACAGAATGAGCGACAATCTTTTACCGACCCTCTCCAACGATGACTGATGGTAATATGGTCTATTTGAGTCCATCGTTGGTTTGGTGTAGGGGGTCTCCATGTTAGACGATGTCTCTCCTAATGCCTAAAATTTGTGTTTGCTAAAAATAAACGATTGTCTGAGCACAGTTGCGGTAGACGATCACCATTATCTGTTCGCTGCGCCGGTAAACTAAAATACCCACCTAAATGCCTTTCTGTTTGGTTTAAGCTACCTATCTGGGCATAAAAGTCACCTGCTACGAGTACTATGTCTGAACGTTTAGCTTTCTGAAGAAGTTCAGATAGCTTTCTGTAAAATTCATTTTTCACTTCATCGGAGCTGCAGTCGGTGGGAGCGTAGGCAGAAACCATAAAAAGGCAACGACGTGTGTCCCTATCCTTCCGAGTTCTTACGGAGCCGTTTAGCCGAACAGCATATAAACGACTGTTAACGGGGATCCACTCTAACAGTGCTTGTTCCGCCCTCGTGCTTAGTGCTATGCCTACTCCTGCCAGTCCACGAGAGCTGGCCGTTGGATCAGCGGATACACGGAGGGTGTCAGTCAGTCAGTAACAACGTAGAACTCCGTACGTACGTACATCAGTTCGAGTTGCCACACCACCTTAGCACAGAGATGCAGTTGTCGATTCAAATCCCGTAGTGGTAGAGGTAGCAAGAGTATAAGCAGTAATCGGGAACATTAGGGTTTGGAGATGTTATTTAAAGAGTATAATCCAGTGAAACAAATTTGGAAAGAGGAAAAAAGGGACATGAAGAATTCAGATTAGAATTTGGGAGAACACAGAGAGTGGATGCACCTGCGCCATTGCAAACGATTTTGAGCCATGTCATTCAGGGTCTCTAACCATCGGTTGCTATCATCTCGTGGTCCCAACCAGGTAGTCTACACCTACCAACATGACTCAGTCCACTTGTCAGTGACTTCATGGACTTGTGCCATGTTTTGGTTTGGCCGCCTCTAGCTTTCTTCCAATCTACTCCTATACCACTGAACATCGCACGTCGAGGAAGTCGGTCGTTGGGCATACGTAACACGTGTCCCAGCCATCTCAACTGATGAACTTTCACTACGTCATCAATTGACTTGCCATCCTTACCTAGTACCCGTTTCCTAACAACTACATTACTTACTCGATGGTCCCATGATATACGAGCAATGTTTCGAAGAAACCTATGATCGAATACTAGTAACCTACGAATATCCTCTACTCTTACCGGCCATGTTTCACTGCCATAAAGTAGGACGGAACGAACTGCTGTGCAGTAAACACGTCCTTTGATTGATAGACGGATATCTCGCCTACACCATAAATGACGCAAGTTGGTAAAAGCTAGTCGAGCCTTCTGTATCCGTGCTGAGATTTCGTCACTCACCAGACCACAAGGGCTGATGAGACTCCCAAGATAAGTGAAGCGGTCGACACACTCAACTACTTCACTCTCTATCACTAGTTCGGGTGTCGATGTAACCCAATCCTGAAGCAACATTTTGCATTTCGAGGGAGAGAACTGCATCCTGAACATGCTTGCATTGTTGCTTAGAGTGGTCAGAAGACTGCATTTTGTCAGCGACTTCACCAAATAAAACTATGTCATCAGCATATTCTAAGTCAACAAGTGAACTTCCCGGTAGAAGTTCAATCCCTGGAAATTTAGATGGAGAGTGTTATCTCTAAGAGTACTTCAATGACAAAGTTGAACAAGAATGGAGTGAGTGGACAACCCTGACGAACACCACTTGAGGTAATCAATTCTGATGACAGTTCGCCATAAGCTCTCACTCTACCAGTTGTGTTCAAGTAGAGAGCCTTTATAAGGTTAATGTACTTTTTTGGCACTCTTTTCAGTGACAAACACTGCCATAGAACCTTACGATCAACAGAGTCAAATGCCGCCTTAAGGTCGAGAAATACTACCATTGTGGGGCCTCTGAATGTGAGTCTGTGTTCTAGAACCTGACCTAGTGTGAATATCTGATCTATACAACCACGTCCATGTCGAAAACCAGCCTGATTTTCTCTAGTCTGTTCTTTACGAGCTTTAGTTAGGCGTCGAAGTATTATTGAAGCTAATATTTTAGACACTATATTAGTCAAACTGATTCCTCTGTGATTGTCACAAAAGGACTTTTGCCCTTTCTTATAGACTGGCACAATCAGTGATTGAGACCAGTCAGATGGGATTACGTCCAGTTCCCAAATTCTACCTAAGACCTCAGTTAATCTCACTGCTAATACTGGACCACAATCCTTAAAAATCTCAGGAGTGAACATGTCAGGGCCTGCTGCTCTCCCTCGCTTCAGATTTCCGATAGCTTTTTCAACTTCATAAAGAGTCGGAGGACCTATGCGTGTTTCAGAGACACAGCATACATCAATGATACGAGATTATAGGGTTCTAGCCAAGGAAGTCTGTTGACCGATTTGACATAGGGTGCGTACGTTGAAGGCTCTAATGTGTAGTTTGGAGCGAGGTTTCAGTAGACCTGGGACAGTGTTTGAGCACTAGAATCGTTGGCTATGGTGACATTTGAGGAGGAAGCCGAAAGAGGAAGTTTAGAGGTGAAAGTCGATGTAGGAGGAATAATAGAAAGTGAAGATGGAGGTTGATTATGAATGCAGTGGTCTTGAGTGCTGTTAGACGTATGAGGGCGGTTATCACTTCCCGGTTGCCCACACCGTGGAAGGGTTGTTCTGGAGGTACCTGAAAAGGAAATTGGATTAGATGTGGTCTTAGTGACCTGAGAGCGTGACCGCAGTGCCCAAGGGACAACTGCTTGAGGTCGGTCACACACGACATTTTTATGGGTGATTTTTGTGTTAGCTCCGTACTTGTTGAGACTTACCGCCGGAGACGGATATCCGTGGGATAAGACGAGGTGTGCATTTTTAGGGTCGACCTTTTCTAACCCCACCCCTCCTTGTGGGAAGACAGCATCGCTGTCATGCTGGTTGTCTGAAGGAAACACCTTACTGCTGTCACACCTCTGTACAGTCAGCAGTACGACTTCGCCTTCGGACCTTGGGTTTGTTGCTTCTAGTCTTACCGCTCATCAACAGACCTGACTGACATGGTAGGACCTTGAGGAACAGTTGTTCCAGCCAGTATAGCTCGGTTGCTTCATCACGATAGGCAAGCCCGACCACCACGTCAAGGTAGCAACAACGGTCGAGAATAAATGAATCTAGCCAAATATTGTAACTAATGATTGAAAACGTTGTGACATCTTAGAATCGGTAGAAATCCCGGAGGTGCATTAATTTTTGACCTCTCAGAACCCATACTTCAAATAACTGTAGAGCTTTAATTCCAAGAATTTAGTTACTATCCTTGAGTTATATTTCCGATTATGAGTGTTCGTTATTGTTACTGATACTACTAGTAAGATATTCATCTCGATACTTTGATCTAATTGTGCTGAAGCGGTGACAACTAAAATGAATGCAGGTTTTACTTTGCTGATGACTGAGTAAGAAACACAGTATAATAATAATGAGCGCTTGAATCATACAAAACTTCGTCTACATTTCCGAAATCCACCGAAGGGGATTGAAATAACAATCCTCTTAAACATCAATAGCAAGATGTTAACTTTATATTATCAATAATATTTTGGACATGTGACTCAGGCTGGAATGAAATTAATGCTAACTTAATTATATTACATAGGGGCTTTCAATATTTTACGAAAAATTATATTGCATTTTACTGCGAAACCTTGTATTCATTTAGTCTAATTGTTGGGGATAAGAATATACACATGTTGGCTTAGAAAGCAGTAACAAATATGTATCTAAGATGTTTTGGGCGTTTACTAAACAAATGACATACCTTATGGATGGAGTATTGAAATTCCCATCGGCGATTCTCACCAACGTAACAGAATATTTTCCTAAGCCATGACTAAAGAAAAACATAATCAACTAAAAGTAACTTACTGCAAAGTGAGAAAACCAAGGATTACGCATGCCATCCGCACTGGTATAAAAGTCAAATTCCATATTGTGAAACTTAACAACGTAAATAACACTAAACACCTACCCAATGGATGCAAACTTATACTCCGCAAGGTGCAATGCCCGAGAAACATGCAAGAAGAAATCAGTACCGTAGTGAAGAACAAGAACTACCATACATAATTTAGTTAATCTAAAATTAAAGTCTATCAACATTTTTTTGATACTTACCCTCCAACATAAGCCAAAGATATGCCGAGAAGATACATTGTTGCATGAAACAGTCGTGCAGGTATGAGTTCCTGCCAAGGATTCATTTTTCAAACACATAACTTACTTTTTTTACACGCTGGAAATAAAGCTCTGGATAGTCATGAAGCCAGTAGCAAATCTGGAAGTGATAGTTGATAAAATATCTTACTTGAGTGATGAAAAACAATTTGATCCAGAATGGCAGCCATCTCTGTGGATAATTATCCCACAAACTACTCAAATTTTCTATAAAACCTTCGTTAATAATACTGTAAGCGGCCCAAACTGTGGACAAAGCATAAAAGCATGCAAGGTGGGCAGATTCGTTGAATTTAGCTAGCCGAACCTTTGTCAAACTTAACTTTCGAGTCACTTTCTGAATGAAAAATGTTATTGATTTTAAAAACTTACGTCAAAGAGATACTCTTGAAGTACAGCATGTGACACAATACATATAAGAGTGTAAAAAAATATTACGCATAAATCTTTTGCTCCTGGGCTGTATAATAAGGCATTTTCTTGGTCTGAAAATTCAGGCTTAAAATCCACAATGACCTACTTTCGTCGGTGTTGTTGTACTGGATGAATATGAAAGATGAAGATAAAACATGAGTTCCCTAGGTTAAATGAACGTAATTTATTTGCTTCGGCAAACCTTGTGCAGCAAACCAACGATGATTAGCATCGCCAAAACACTGACAATGTCCCCATGATTTGTAATAATGAATTCATGAGAAAAGTAGGGGGATTTTTAGTCTTTTTGCGCCCGAACCTGCTGTTCATCACTTTACTGCAACGTAGATGAGAAATTGATGTCAGCGCAGTAACACGAAGACCTTAAGATGTGGCTAAAAATTCATTGTTTAAAGCAGTTCAACCTCCAATAACTGGTAGTTTCAAACTGTTATGAATAAAATCGAAAAGCCTTCCCCCTTCGTAGGCCTCTGTGTCCAATAGTGATGAGTCATTTATTACCCCAAGTATTAACCTAAAAGAGACCGGAGGTATCCGTATCCAAAGAATATGTTCAATTATCTGACATTCAGTATTTTCGTGATGAGAACCCGTTCATTCATTTGTTCTCACTTCTTGACCTTAGTGTACAACTTCATGTTTTCACTGTCGTCGAATGTTAATATCTTATCCATTCGTCACACTATATCTAGTAAATTTGACAGTTTTTGGAGGTTTACATGTCATGAGTACATATGGGTTATACTAGTTCTAAGTCAGTAGAATTACTGGAACCAGTAGCTATCCCGTTATAGTTCAGGACGGAATAGAAGAAACTATCGCTTAACGGGCTTCCGAATATTGTAGCACTGGACCATTAAATGCCTCTAGGTAAGAACCTAGGTATATTTAACGATAAAAGAAAAACAAATTAGTCTTCAGTCTTCAGTTATAAGGATAGGAGGTCTGTCGACCTATATTTATCCTTGCAGTTTGTAATACTGTGGAGGTCCAATCTCGTTTGAATATCTTAACAGACGGTGCTGATACTTCAGTAATTCACTACTCGGTGCGAGAAACGGAACTCCAGACGTAAACGGTTTGATCTCGGTTTTTGAACTTTCTTCGAATATCTTCTCAAATGATCGGTTCTAGATGGAAGCAAAAGATAAGACATGTTAATACCAAGGTCATCGTTCAGTATACGATAGGCCAATATTAGATCACCCCGTATTCTACGGTAAGATAACGGAAATAAGTTAAGGTGTCTCAGTCTGTTTTCATAGGATAGGCCAGATAGACCTTGTACCATATTAGTAGCTCGTCGTTGGACTCTTTCTAGCATATCTGCTTCATACTTGAAACAAGGACACGCTACTTGAATCCCGTATTCTAAATGTGGTCGCACATAAATCGGGTATAGTAATCTAAACATTTCATCATCTAAATACTGGAAAGACCTACGAATTGACCATAATACCCTATAGCCTTTCGCAGTAGCAGCCTTACAGTGACTAGTGGTTTCGAGATCACTGCCTAATATGACTCCTAAATCCTTAGTTTCTTACTTTGGGTAGCACGAATCCACGTAGTGTTTAGTGATACGATTCGTCAGAGTTACTTAACTGCATCACTACACTCTTATTAGGATTTACTTCTAGTGACCACCTGTCCAACCATACCACCAATGAGCTAAGATAATTCTGTAATACTATCCTAACCGACATACTATGTATGGGTCTCCAAATTTTTATGTCATCAGCGAAGATTAGGACGGATGATTTTGCTACAGTTGGCAATTCGTTTACATAAAGTAAAAAGAGAAGAGGACCTAGGATTGTACCTTAGGGAACCCCACGTTTTACGAGTACCCAAGAGAAGAGAGCCCCATACACCTTACCCATTGTCTCCTGTCATGGAGAAAGTTACTTATCCAATCGTCGACTGTATAATGGATTCCAAGACGTTGCAGTTTGAATTAAAGACCAGAGTGGGAAGCCTTATCGAAGGCCTTACTTAGATCTGTAGAACTATGGTCTACTATGATATTAGTACTGCTCTAATAATAGACCTAATCCTAAATTTGTCATGATATAACTGCCTTATCTATAAGTATTACGTGGAAGTCACACCATCGACTACACCAACTCACTGTATCGTATCAATTACCAATACATGATGTAGAACAAGGTTAGGCTAGAGAAAGAACAATATATTTAATATGAATAGAAGATATAAAGTAACATTGAGATGTACCACGCCTGCATGGACGAGCCATGCCATCCGATCAAACCCAGTCCATTCAATTTATTGTACGCGCCTTCTCCATCCTAGGTATTTCTCCGTGTTAAATATTGAATATCTATTTTCCGAGTAGTGTTGTGTTCAGCTTTGAAGATTGTGTGGTTATGGTCTAATGCCACTACACTACTCTCCCACCAGAATCAACGTGATGTTGGTTCGATACCAAATCGGATGGGATCGTCGCGCGCCGGAGGTTACCAAGGATAATAACAATCCTCCGGGTATTGATAAGCTGAAAGGTAAATCAAAAACAAGGCGGCAGCATCTGGTCGGGAAATACATGTAATAATCTTAAAATATCTGCTTTCATGATTAACACGCTTAAAATGAAAATTTGGTTGAAGATTATTTGAACTATAAAAAATGGGATTACAATAATAATAATAAAACGATGCGTGTTAATAACTTAACTTATAGGCAGTAATTATTTTGTGTTTAGAAATATTAAAATAATGAATATTGTAGAAATGTTAATATTGGTATTAGTTTTGGTTTAAATTATGAAATCGGATAACGATTATGCCGGTAAGTTGTCCATATGAGTCGAATTCCAATTGCATCTGTATTAGTAGGCTAACTGAAGGAACAAAAGTATACCGTGGAGAAGAATTCCAACTAGTGTTCCAGTTAGTTTGATACTGTAGCGTGGCGTCGAGTTGTGATTAACTATGAACACCGCTACCAAGAAACACGTGCCAAATAGATCAGAAGGCGTAAGAAGCTCGTTCCAAATGACTCCATAAAATCCCGGAGAAGCCGAATACCAGAAGGCAATTAATGGACCAAGTCGAGTTATATTTGCTGGCGATCTCGTGGCATCGAAAGGATACCGAGATCGTGCCAGGATACAACCTTGGTTACAGAAGGTAACCGAATTCGCGCGAAGTTACAATCGAAGTGCAAGTAAAAGAATGGAAGCACAAAATAGCTGTCATTAGCACAGTCAAACAAAAGCACATTAAAACAAACACTGGTACAGTTGGTTATAATAATAATTGTTTTTATTAAACCAGTCGTGTTCTCGTGATAAATGTGAGTCACTACAGGAGCCCCCCGCTAGAAAGGGTTTACACTTTCGATAAATAGCGGTTTGAATCGTGGGACTGATCGGCTGACGAGCGATTGTAGGACGGAAGAATTGGCGAACAGGAAAGCGATCGTTGATCGTCGAGTTGCCAACGTAGGTCGTTTTCGGAGAACGGTACCAGGAGCGATGTGTTGTATTTATTGCTTGAGTTGGCATGCTACACCAGAGTGGTTTGTATCCAGAATCTGAAGATGGCGTTCGTAGGGGTGCGCACCAGAAACGCTGCAGACGTAGGACGAAACCACGTTGAGCCGATGAACCAGAAGCGACCATAACGACCAAGTTCGAGACCAAGCGTATGCCAAGCATTCGAAACCAATATATCGACTGAGTACGTTGACAAGAGCGTGGGTGGCCAATTCAGCTTTCGCCAAAGTTGACTGAAGTCGACGGAACCAAACGGAGATGGTCGAAGGCGTGGGCTCAGGAAACAAAAAGAAAATCAAAAAAGAGAAGAGTGTAGCATGCGTGTAGTATAGGAATAATCCTACACCGTATCGGTTGTTGATTGTGCGACTAGTCGAGGAAGCGTACGGGTAAACGTACTCGGCGACCGGAACGTGAGACGGCAGTCTCGTTCGCGTCGCGTGAGCCTGCAATCTCATCCGAAGTCAAGGGCGGCGTGGTCTGCTGATCTGGACGTGAGACTGTCGTCTCGTCCGTAGACGGTGCAGATGACGCGTGCTGTTGACTGGGACGTGAGAGTGAGGTCTCAGGTGCATCTAGCGTGGGACCTGAAGATGGTTTGAGGATCCCGCTAGTAGGTTTGCTAGGTCTAGCATTGAATCTCAGGTTATCAGATAGGGCACTGTCATCGACGTGTGCTGGTTTGAGACGATCAATGCTGACGATCTCGACGCGGCCGTGTCGATCAACCTTGAAGGTCTTTTCGTGACGAGCGATCACGCGAAAAGGGCCTTCGTAAGGTTGTTGCAAAGGTTTGCGTACCGAATCTACTCGTATGAAAACATGTGAACAGGTAGATAACTCTCGAGGGAGAGCGACCTGTCGATGTTGTATTCGAGTTGACACCGGAGGCAGCGTTCGCATAAATGCAGACAGTCGTTGGACGTAGTCTGATTTAGCGAAATTAGGTCTGCTCCGTGGTGTGAAGAATTCCCCGGGCAGACGCAATGTCGTGCCGTATACAAGTTCAGCGGCGGAACATTGGATATCTGCCTTTAAGCTCGTTCTGATACCTAAAAGAACGAGCGGTAAGGTTTCGTACCAGTCGTCGTTTTCGTGTGCTCGAAGAGCACTTTTAAGTTGCCGATGAAACCTTTCAACTAAACCGTTTGAAGCTGGATGGTAGGCGGTAGTGCGTATTCGTTCCGTACCAAGCAGCCGAGTAAGTGAGGAGAATAGTGCGGACTCAAATTGTTGTCCTCGGTCAGTCGTGACAGTCGAGGGACAACCATATAGAGCTATCCATCGTTCTACGAAGCGGTGAGCAACTGTCTCCGCCGTGATAGACGTGATGGGTATAGCTTCGGGCCATCTGGTGAAGCGGTCGATGCACGTGAGTATGTGATCATACCCGTGCGATGGTGGCAGTGGTCCTACAATGTCTAAGTGAACGTGATCGAAGCGAGCATCAGGCGTAGCGAATGTACCGAGGGGGGCGGCTACGTGCCTGTGCACTTTTGATCGTTGACATTGTAAGCATTGCTTAGCCCACATACGAACATCTTTATTCATGGACGGCCAGACGTATCGTGCAGCGATGAGGCGTAATGTAGCTGCGATACCTGGGTGAGATAATCCATGCAGGGCATCGAAAACGAGACGGCGATAAGCAGAGGGTACGATGGGTCGAGGAAGACCGGTAGACGTATCACATAGAATGGTGCCAGAAGTCGTGGCTAGAGGTACTTCCTGATACTGAAGAGACGTAGAGTGTGGTGCTTTGTACAGCTGGGATCGTTTGCTTGGGCAGCGGCCATAGCAGGAAGATCGAGCACCGGCAGGGTAACTGCATTCATTTGGATTCGTGATAGAGCATCGGCAACACAGTTCGACTTGCCTTGGATGTGACGAAGGTCTGTCGTGAACTGGGAGATATAGTCCAAATGTCTGCACTCTCGTGGTGAGTAGCGGTCAGACTTGGTATGCAAAGCATACGTTAAGGGCTTATGGTCGGTGAATAAAATGAATCGACGTCCTTCTACTGCGT